CACAGTGGAAATGGGTGCTTAGCGTCCGGAACAACTGCCTGGTGATGTGAGCTATATGGGTGGGCTCTTTCGATGTCCATCATACTGTCCAAGAGCAACGTGGTGGTCGGAAAACCTTGAGCATTTAGCAGGGGAAGAGGGCAGCAGAGGAGGTTAAAAGCCCAAAGCCTACTCCTCCAATTTCCAGTTGTACATCCAAGCCTCAAAACCTTAGAGCCTCCACCCCTTGAGCGGGCTTAGACACCATGCTCAACCCCACATGGTAGTTTCCCAAAACAGGGGACCCCAACATAGACCCAAAATATTGTAATCCTTGCCATGGGGACCCCCGAAAGGGTACCCCTAATTTTGGGAAATCCTACATCATGCAAAGCAGCTGCTGCTAATGTTGGAGTTTGTCAAAATGATCCTCTACAAGCCCAAAAGGGGGGACCCCTAGCTTCTGCTTATCATCCTCCTAAACCCAAAGCCTGCTCCCTTAACCCTCTTATACTATAGTATTTTATATTGCAGTATTTTATATTATAGTATATTATAGCATACTACATTCTGGTATATTATAGTATTATATTGGATCATTGTACATTACGTACACCCTAAATCTTCAATCCTAAGCCCAAAGGTCCTTTAAAGTCAAAAGTCCGCGCTTAGGTGAAGCTCGAAGATCTGCGCGTGGTGCTGGCGCTGCCTGGGATGTCTACGCACAGCAATGTCCTTGCTAGGCCGCTGTGTGAGCTCATGGGGTTAAGGGTTTAGGAATTAGGGTTTAGAGTTTTGGGGTTTGGAGGTTGGGGCTTTGGGGTGTGACACGGGGCGGAGAGTGTAGGGTTTAGGGCTAAGGGGCTCAGGGGTAAAGATCAAGATTGAACTTCCCTACGTTAATATAACACGGGCCCCTAATTTGGTTTCCTACTGTGATATGAGTCCCTATAGTGGGTTGCCCACTTTGGGAAGAGAAGTGGGGGCAAACAGCATACCAAACTCCGCCTCTACTTGCTGGTTGTTAGTAGGGAATGGCAGAATGCATTCATCCCTATAGCAGGCTTTTTAAAATCCACATGTTTTTCTTTCCATCTTGTTTTCCATTCTTGCATTCCCTACTAACAAGCAGTAAGTGTCGAGCCGTTCGAACGGTGAGCAACATGTTAGGGCTTACTGGGCCCTACCGGCATGATTGCGCGGTCATTCTTGTTGAGCTCCGTCAACATGAGTTCGTTGAGGTGATGGCTCTGAAGGGTGTGGTTGACACACATGCACCTGATGCATGAAGGCTTGCAAGTGGGTGTTTCACCTCCATAGCAGGATCCCTACACACCCGCCAGTCTCCGCAATGTGACGGACCAGCTTTTGTGAGTAGCACTTCTTGTAATGATGACATGCTCATACTTGCTCAAACTGCAAAGATTTTTGATGCACGCTCGAGCAGATCCTCTTTCTGTCTGGTCAAAGTCAAAGCCGCTTCGTAGATTACCAGGCAACCATATGCTTCTTCTTGGAAGAGTACCCCACAACATCGCGAACAAGGGGTTCCCCTTGTTTGAGAAACTACTAGATTTTCTGGCGGCAGTGGCAACTACAACAGACGATAGCCTTGAGATCCTAAAAGGTAAGCGTTGTTGGGTTTGCAATAAGTCCGTCAAGGAGCGCTATCAGGCCAAAGATGTTTCCATTCCATCGGAAACCAAAGGCTATCAGTTGGACACAACCGACAACAGCAGTCTTGCCAGCCAGCCAATGCAAGTCTCCGCAAGTGAGATTTGCTCAAAACAGGGCGCTGCTGCACATGTACGCGGATTATAAAGGGATTATGGGGTTCCCTAGTTGGGATGGTGTAGGAGAAGCCTTGAGAAGTGCCCAAGTCTCTGCCAGGATTACCTCGCCGCCCCTTGCTGAGGCACATTGACTGCTGCTGTGTAACACACAGGGCTGATCAACTGGAGCAAGGAAGGTTTGCACATACAGACATCGCAAATAAGGAATTCTTCATACGCATGCAGCTTTCTGCATGATCTCAGTGTTAAACTTCAGCACGTGGGCTATTCTCAAAATTATTGGCCCCTATGGGTTGTAGGTCATGCTACGCCGCCGAATATCTAGGGGTACCAAAATGGGACCCTAGTTTGGGAACTACCCACATGTATGCCAAACTCATCAAGCCTCGCTGTGGGGGAGGCTCCTCTTGACAAAATTCTGGAAGCGACCGCTGGTGCAGCGGCAGCTAAAGCCATGGGATTCGCCAAGGAGGCGGGGGGTTTATAGGGTTTAGGGTTATAGGGCCCATGTAGCAATGGGATTGGGGCCATGGCGCAGCTTCAGATAGTGTAGGAGCCTAAATAGTTACAACTCCAAATTTCCTAGGTTCCTGGTATGATTATAATAGTATATATTAGGGTTCTATTGGGGTTATATAGGGATAATGGAAAATAAAATGGAAACTACTATAGTATAATGGGGTATATATTAGGCTTATATATGGTACAACAAACAGACCTCAAACTGCTATTGGTACTTTACTGAGTCCCTAAACCCTAAACCCCTCAACCCTAAACCCTCAACCCTACACCCTAAACCATAAACTCTCAAACCCAAGCCCTGAACCCTAAGCCCTCAACCCTAAACCCCCTAACTCAAAACCCTCAACCCTAAACCCTCAACCCTGAACCCTAAGCCCTCAACCCTAAACTCCCAACTCAAAACCCTCAACCCTAAACCCTCAAAGGTAAACCCTAAACCTCAAACGTAAACCCTACACCCTAAAGCCTCAACCCTAAACCCTCAAACGTAAACCCTAAACCTCAAACGCAAACCCTACACCCTAAACCCTCAAACCTAAACCCTAAACCCTAAACCTCAAACGTAAACCATACACCCTAAACCCTCAACCCAAAACCCTCAAACCTAAATCCTACACCCTAAGCCCTCAACCCTCAACCCAAAACCCTTAACCCTAAACCCTACACCCTAACCACCTGCAGCACCCATTCTGGAGGGGTCTGCCAAGGCCTCGTCCAGGCCCAGAACCTCTCCCGATCCGGTATAGCCTTTCAAGGGCCCCACTCCCAGAGCTTCTAAAGCCTTTGAAGGGCTCTCGCCTGCCAGAGCTTCCTTCAAACCCACATTCTAAATTTCGCCTTCAGAAATCTCCAAGAAGTGCCAGAAGGGGCCTCCCTCAGGGGGAAAGCCTTTGACCATCCTCCAGCGGGCCTGCAAGAAGGTTTGAGATCCCTTCAACAACGAAAACACCGAAATGAATTTGTGCTGACCAAGATGGACCTAGCTGAGTTTAGGTCCAAACTGTAAAAGGAGTAGGCTTGGGTGGCTTGGCCGCCTCACACGGCGTGGGGTGGGTGATTGTGTTAGATGGCCCTCTACAGTCAGCCCATGCCAGCACCTGGCATGCAGCCATGCACTTGAAGAGTGATTGACACTAATCATCACTGCTTGCACGGTAACTCACAGCAAGCCCTTAAGCACGAAACCCTACACCCTAAACTCATGGCTTAGGCCCCCCCACCTACTGTGAGTGGGCGGCGCCTACGCCCCTCGCTCTCTATGGCGAAAGGTCTTTACCTAGCCCTGCCTGAACCATGGGCCGGGTACCGGAAAGAGTTCTCCTTGCAACCAGTACTGGTTGCTTAATAAAGTCATGGCTCTCATTCTGGAGGCCGCTGGCCGGGTTTTCTAGGGGCCCTTGTGGTGGGGTCTTGGGCGTCCTCTGCGAGCGAATTTCGGGACCAGGGGCCTGAGAGCCTGGACAGGCTCGCGCAATTTTCAAGACCAAAGCCTCATCAGGCTTTCAGGGCCTTCCCAGCCAGGAGGACGCTCCAGGGCCTCTCCCAGGCTCGCACAGAACCTCCAAGCACCAGAATTTGCCAGGCCTTCTCAGGGCCAGGGCCCAGGGGCCTGCTGGTGCCCTTTGCCGGAATGCTCTATCACGTGATGTCTCCAACGCCATAGCGCCGTTCATGGCCAAATGCTCCCATTTGTCATGTCGTGTTTACATCAGAAGCTGGGCCGAAAAACAAGAGACTACTTCTTGGACTATGGAATCACATCATTGCTATAGCCTAAGCTCAGCATGGAAGGAACATGCACCGATTGCGTCAGCTTTTCTGTCAGCCTTCACGGCCCTAGATGGGAGATGGGGACCTGTGCGTCTCTTGCTCCAGCCAGGACGTGCCTCTCCTGCACGTGGCATTTCGTATCTTTAAAGATTTCTCGGAAGGTCCAACCTGGCAAGCTGTCGAGCCAGGTTTGCAGAGGTAGTTCTGATTTCATTGGGAGCCTGAAGCCAGTGTAGGCACCCAGCCTCAAGATTCTTGGGACGAGGTAAGTATGTAGTTGAAAAAAGTGTTGGCCAAGATGGACCTAACTGAGTTTAGGTCCTAAACCCTAAAAGGAGTAGGTTTGCGTGGCTTGACCACCTCAGACGGCGTGGGGTGGGTGAATGTGTTAAAAGGCCCTCCACAGTCAGGCCGTGGCAGCACCTCGCAAGCCGCGATGCATTCGTCGTTACCTTGCAGCTTGCGCATCGCATATTCCACGTAATATCGCAGCAAACGTTAAACCCTAAACCCTAAACAGCCAGCTAAGTTCAGGCTGGCCAACTGGCTCTTCACCACGTTGGCGGGGAGCTTACCTCTGTCGTAAGGTTTGGCGGTTTAGGGTTTAGGGGTTTAGGGGTTTACGGTTTAGTGGTTTAGCGTTTGTGGCACGTGACGGTTTAGGCCTGCGTTTCTTTCGGAAAGTTTTGTTTTACCACCAGGAACAGAAAGCTGAATCACAAAACGTCAGTTGCAGTCATAAGAACAGGCAAGACAGGAGCAATAGTAATAGCGATAACCATACATGTATATCTATACACACACTGTTTCTAATCCCAGTAGCAGTACGGATAGAAAAAACAGTAGCAGCTATAGTAAAAGAATAAAAGAACGATCATAACAACAATGACAGACAATAGTCATATTGTAACACTGCCGACGTCTATGCTAGGACGCATGGGAGCTTCTCCAGCAGCGCTTCACAGCGTCGTCCTGGCGCTCGCGAATAACGGTGCGCTGAACATCATCTGCTGGTAGGAAGTTGAGGGTGGGGGGGGGGGTCCGCACCACAGGGAACACCAAACCCCAACCCTAGATGATCGTGCAGGTCTGCTACTGGAGGGCTGCGCCACACTGTTGGCCCAGCACCATGCTCTGTTGGCAACCGAGGCCACTTGATCTTGTTGGGACATGTTGGGTGAAGCTGGAGCCCAGGTGGTGATGCCATGGGCATTTCAGCATGTCTCGGTAATTTAAGTGTTGCTGTTGTTGCTAGTACTTTTTTTTATTCATGGTTTTTTTATTCATGGTATTATTATCATCATTATTATTGTTATCATGACAATTGTTATCCTTTTTTATGTTATTGTTGTTATTACCCTAAACCCTAAACCCTTTATTCTTCGGGGCCAGGAGCTTGCCTCCTGTGTGGCTGCCGTTGGAGACCAGGGCCACGAAGGCCGGGTAGAAGCGGACAATCAGTTCGTTTAGGGTTAGGGTTGAGAAGACATGGGGTTTCCTGAAATAAGGGGACCTCTAAAGGGGGTAATTATCGGGGCTATATAGGCATTTTGTAGGGACATATAGGGTTTAGGGTTGCCCTAAATAGGGGGACCCCAATATAGACCCCAAAGTATTTTGGTTCTTAGCATTGGGATCCCCAAAAAGGGACATCTAATCTTGGGAAACCCCTAAACCCTCAACCCCATTATTGTAGCTTGCATGTTCTTTTCTATGATCCCTATGTAACCCCAATATCCCTAAATCCAAAACGGTACACCTAATTTTGGGAAACCCCACATCATTCAGTACGCCAGGACCAGATTTGGTCACAGCCTGCAAGCACCTTGCGGGCAGAGGCCGGCTTTCTTGACTTATTCAGTGCAAGGAGGGTTTAGGGTTTAGGGTTTAGGGAAAGCCGCTTAGAAGCCCCCTAAGTCATTCCAGCAGCTAATTTCAAAGTCTTGCGCGCAATAAGGCTCACATGCCTGCATCTTAGAGTATGAAGAAATGGAATAGAACATGGAAACTACTAGAAGGGTTACGGTTCAGGCATTTAAAAGAACCTGTAAACTATTATGTTATTGGGGGATTTATATAGGGGTAACTACAGGATGCATGTCTCCAGTCCCTACTGACAACCAGCAACTTGTTGGAGGTGCGGAACTTGCATCGCTCTCCTTCAATCGTCTGCAGGCGCAGAGTCATTTGGAGTTGAGCAGTCGCGGGCGGGAAATCCATCTTGTATTTAAACTTGCACTATCACAGCAATTGCACTTGGTCATTTGTTCTCAGATTCATGAATTTCATGCATGGTTCAGGCATTGGCGGTCGCGGCAACCAAGTCCACAGCGTTGTCTTTTTGCAGTGCGCCGGCGCATGGCTCAGAAGCAGTTTGAACTTAAAACCGACAGTAGATGTTCAACAGAATTATGGTTCATCATGAGGTCCTTTTTGAAGGGACCACCCCAAATAGAATTTTGTGTAGAACTCCCCCTACTCGGCTGCGGGCTATTCTCGCAGGCAAGTTGTGTGTGAGCACTGGCACCGAATCAACTCATCCCTGAGGTGGTGGAGGCAGCGGTCCAGGCGCGGGGTCTACGGACTGCCCAGAACAACAACCACGACGACAAGAACGGCAACAACAACGGTGGCAACAGCAGCAACAACGACAACAAGCAGGACAAGTTTAAGTTGTAGTGTGGTGCAGGGGCAGAACAGAACGGCAACAGGAGCAGCACATATAGCATCACCACTGCTGGCACCAATGCTGCAAACAGTACTACGGGTAAAAGAAGTAGGATCCGCATGAGAAGCAGGAGGAGGTAGATTAGGTGGAGGAGTGGTGGTGGTGGTGGTAGGTGTGGTAGGTGTAGTAAGTTGTAGCAGTACATGAACGGGATAATGAAAATGAGAGGAAAAGTCATAGAATCCAATCGCTAGACGGAATGTTGAAGGCTGATTATGGCAAGAGTAACAAACTTAAACTGAACTGCAACATCCATCGGTCAGATGCTGATCTGCCACAGGGTGATCAGACTTTGCTGGGCCAGGCACTAGGCCAGTGGACGGCCAGCGAGGCGGAGCAACCTGTCCTGTTTTGTGGCACATGAGCCATAATCTAAACTCCTTTAAGGGGGGGTATATAGGGGATTATATATGGGACCACTATAGGGGTTATTAAGAGGATACTAGGAGCTTAGACCATAGCTCACATGGATTTTTCTGCAAGTTAGATGCCCTAGGAGTGATTAGGATGAGATATAGTATATGGGCTAGAGTCACAACTCCTTAAAGGGGTTTATATAGGGGATTGTATAGGGGACTATAGGGGCGATTTAGGGGGATCCTCGGAGTTTAGATTGTAGCTCATATGGAGGTATACATTTGGACACCCAATTTCTGGAAAACCCCACCTATGACACAGGGGCTTACTCTAAAGTTTGAAAAGTACAGGCCCCCTGCTTTGGACCCCGACTATGCTGCGCCTTACGATACTCTCCTATACCATGCTATAACAATATTACACCATACTACTATACTATACCAGACTATACTACATTATACTATACTATACTAGACTATACTATACTATACTATATGCTATGCAGTATACATTATAGATTACCTTCTATAGTATACTACAAACTGTAGTATATTATATTATACTATACGATACGATACTATACTATATGGTGGGTCCCTCCTTTAGTTCTCCCTCACTGTGAGATGTAATCCAGGCTAATTCCCACATGCTTTTCGCCTCAGCATGAGACAGCAGGCATCATGACCCAGCTAAGTGAAAGCAAGCATTTTGCTTTGAAGACAGCAGACACAACAGGCCTGACAGGTTTCAGCAACCCTAAACCTTGAATCCTAAACCTTTCTCAACGGTGTGACTTTGCTGGACCTCCTTGCAGGCGATTCGCTTGGTCTTGGCTTTGGCCAAGCCTCGGCGAAAGGAGTCGAAGGAGACCGCCGCATATCACTTCAGGTAGTGGAAAGAATGAGTGTTCCCCCTGCCCTACTATGAAAAAACACACCTCCAGGGCCCAAAATATTGAAAAGAACACAGTTTCCTTCAAGCGAGGTTTCATCCTTGAGAATGCAGAGTATCCGCAAAACACAGTAAGATCGTGCTCCGCCCTGTGAACGCTCATGATGCGCGCAGACTGCGGCAGTCACAGAACGCCTGCAAGACCCGATGCACATATCCCTTCACAGTGCGAGACTCTATGTACCTTGAAAACCCGTGTAACTTTGGTGCATATACCTTGATAAATGTATCCCCTTATGTCCAAAATGCGTTCTTCAATTAGTCCTCATCGACTCCTTCTACGCCCCGAGAAGAAGAGGCACCTCCTTTTTGAAGAAACGCTCTCTGCAAAAGCGTGCCCACTCAGTTTAGCTACCCGAAATGAGAATTCTTCGCTAGGAGCCCTCCCCAGATGAGCTATAGTCCAAACTCCTTGAAAGGGATTATAGAGGTGACCATTATATGGGGTGGTTATTAAGGAGGATACTAGGAATTTCTCTAGACCCTAAACCCCAAACTCTAAACCCTATACCCCAAACCCTATACCCGAGTAGCTCTTGGAGAAAAGGTCCCACAAAAAAAAATCCTATACCCTATACCCTAAACCCTATAGTAGGAGATATTAAGGGGGAATACCAGGAGTTTAGCCTCAGACGCTGTGAGGAGGAAGCCCCTGAGGTTTCCTCCGCCCAATGGGCTTCGCTTCTTTCGGCTACTGCTTCTAAGGCCTGCAGAAGGATGGCTATAGGGTTTCGGGTTTAGGGTTGAGGGTTTAGAGTTTAGGGTTTTATGGGTTCAGGGTTGAGGGTTCAGGGTTTAGGGTTCAGGGTTTAGGGTTTGGGGTTTAGGGTTTGGGGTTCGGGGTTTAGGGTTTTTTTGGGTTTTGGGGTTATCTCTTGTTAGCTGGGGATGAAGGAGTGGAAAAGAACATTGAAACTACTGTAATGGGTTATATAGGGACTACTAACTACTTAACTGTATATAGCCCTTAACATGGCCCCTAGCATAGACTGTAAATGGGTGGGGGCAGGACCCGAGCTATCGCAATGGCAATCAGGGATATCCTATATATCCCTATATAACCCTGTATAATCCCCATCTAACCCTATATAACCCCTATCTAACCCTAGATACCCCTATATAACCCCCTTGTATAACCCGAAAAACTCACCCTATAGAACCCTTATCTAACCCTATCTAACCCCTTTGCAGTTCATATAAGGCCTCACATTGGACCCTTTTTGGAGGTGCGCCCCGCGCTGTCGGAGCTTCCAGCAGCGGAGCTCATCCGTTTCTTTGGCCGTAAGTTCTGGCGGTTTGGGGTTGAGGGTTGAAGGTTTCAACCCGACACCCGAAACCTTAAAGCCTAAACCCTACCAAGATGTAAGAGTGTTAAGGATTAGGGAACTATGATTTAGGGTTCGGGATCCCTACCCTGGGTGTATCTGATGGACGCCTCTGACACTTTGATCCTATACTTTACGTTCGAAGAGCCCGCCTCGTTGTTAAGTCAAATTTATAATGCAAAGGTCCTACCTGCAGATATTCTGGATGGCTGTTTTCTGGTCTTCTCAGGCTTCTCCCCTACATATGCAAAGGTCCTTGATTTTTGCCATGCTTCTTCATGTGAGACAGAATCTAAGCTCATAAATGGGCTTATGTAGGGGGTTATACAGGGAAGTATTGTAGCGGTTACTAAAGGGGATACCGGGAGCTTAGACTATAGCTCATTTCGGTCATGTCGTGGTTCCTACTACCAAGACCCTTGCAACTAGAAGTATTCTTGGGTCACTTATGCATATCCCTAAACCCTTTTAAGGGGCCTACGTTAAGCATCATTAGTCAGTATTGCAGTATATTTCCAGTCTCCATTTCATTTTTAATTTTCTTTTCCATGTGTGATTCTCCATTAGACCCCTTCATACCCCCATGTTACCTTCTCATCCTGTCAAAATCCCTACATAACCATAATCCCTATATGATCCTGTCATAATGCTCATATACTTTGTTCCTGTATGTACTGGGTGTTAGTCAGGAAACCTTATCCCCTACCAACCGCTAGGAACTAGCCGAGAATTACTCCAATAAGCCCTGTTTCCATTTCATTGTCCATTTTCTTTTCCATTTGATTCCCCATTATAGCAGGTGGATTCCCTGATTCCCTACTAACCCCCAACCCTAAACCCTGCGTCGTCAGAAGATATTGGCGCAACTTCAGCGAGAGAAAGTCCTTCAGCGCGCAGCCAGAAAAAGCCTGGCTTGAAGACGAGAATATTCGGGTTATAGGGGATGATGCAAACTAAAATGGAGACTACTATATTATATTGGGGTTACATATTGGGATAAGGGAGGAGAAAATGGAAACAACTATATCATGAATTGAGAACAGCGATCTGCCGCGCCTCGGCAGGAAGCCTGTCTTGTGGGAGTACGCTTTCGCCGGTGGCTGACGTGGTCAAGGTGGACGTCGCTGTGATGCTGGTGGTAAACCCTGAGCCCTACACCTTGACCAGTCGCGGTTTAGGGTTTAGAGTTTAGGGTTTAGGGTTTAGGGTTTAGGGCGCGTGATGGGATCCAAGCCGGAGATAATCGAGCGTAGTGTGCAAAGGGATCCCCTGAGACCTGTGCCGTACAGGCGTAAAAGTTTGCAGGCTGTAAAACCAACCATAAACCCTATAGATAGTCCCTAGTTCCCGACTAGCCCGGATATAATTGCAATATATACACATTATGATATGGTGGTTTCCATTTTCTTTTTCCTTATCCCTATATGACCCCTATATATATATATACACATTTTTCCCTTACTCCCTACTAACCCCCAGCAAGTAATTATGTAGAAAACTCTAAACCGTATAGAGATTCCTTAGTTCCCTACTAACCCCTAGTAAGTTTCTATGTAAAAGATTAGATACTCCTCAGGTCCCTACTAGCCCACGGTAAGTAATTTATGTTAGGAAAGGAAGATCCAAGGCTTGGCGCTGGCTGCAAAAACCCATGCCGAGCAGGGTGGCAAAGCGTTCGACCCAGCCGCGTGTTGCTTGAGGGATCCGCATGGTTCAGGGTTCAGGCTTTAAGGTTAAGGGTTCAGGGTTTAGGGTCCAGGGTTTAGGTTTAAGGGTTCGGGGTTAAGGGTTCAGGGTTTAGGGGTCAGGATTTAGGGTTTTGGTTTCGGCTACGCTGCACCCCTCAAAAAGGAAAGGGCAGGGCCATCAGAATAAGGGCCGAGGTAAGGAAGAAAATCTTGCCTTGTGTAGGATCCCAGCGCAGGTTTGGAGACGGAAGTAACATAATATTTTGGCTAGGTTTGACCACCAAAGGAGCGCTCCTCTGTCTGGCTAGAGCATATTTGGGATTCTTGGCTAAAATTTGCAAGTCTGCTGGCGGGGGGAGAGGGAATCATGAATAATCATGCTGTCACTACCATCAGCAGTCTTATTGGCAACTATCCACCAGGTAGATTGCACGTTGGGATGCTCACTCTTTTTGCAAGACTCGTTTCAGAGGCTGCATCTCATCGCCAGATGGTTTGCAGTCGCACTGGTTGGTCGAGAATACTTGTGCTGTAACTTGCACTTTGTCGTTACAAGGTCAACATGTAGACGTCAGGTTGAAACACACGGTGGATGCGGATTGCAACTAGCTTAAGGATTGCAAGTAGCTTAAGTATCCTAAGTGCTGCAAGATTTCCTCCACTGACAGTACTTCAGAACACGGGCGAGTGTCTCGGAGACTGCTTTACCACCGGGTGCACAGACAACAAGACATTGTTCCTGCCAGTTTGGCTCTAAACCCTAAACCCTGAACCCTAAGCCCTAAACCCTAGACCGTAAACCCCTAAACCCTAAACCCCTAAACCCTAAACTCTAAACCTAGCAAGGTAAAGGCTCTAAACCCTAAACCCCGGAGCCCAGGGTTTTATTGAGGTTCGGGTGTGATGAT